GAATCTGCTGTTGTGGCCAACTTTAAAGGATACAGTCTGGCAAAGACATTAGGTTGAGACCTTGAAAGAAAACTGGGCGTTAGATAGCAGAAAGGCGGAAGGAGGTGTCCCCTTTAGCAATGGCAACAGCATATGGGAAGGCCTTACAGGTAAAAAGGAAAACCACAACTGCGGAACTGAGAGGCCTGTGTGGCTGGCCGTTATCAAGAGTAAAGAGGAAGAGTGGTGTGGGGTCATGGTAAACTGCAGCGTTTGTAGAGTAGGGCTAGGAAGGGGAAGTATATATTTATATCAGAAAGCAAAAGGAATCCCTGGGTAAGTTCCAAAGAGAGGCAATATAAAGCACTAAATGGTGAAATTAAAAATTCCTGTAATAGAAGGTTAAATGAGGGATGTCCTAAGTAGAAATTATTATATGATTGGCTCTGTCTTCATCAAGACTCTTGAGTGTATGGACTAGTGTTAAAAACTATTCAGTGTCAAAAGCAGGAGGAGGTTATTGGAGGGTGATAGAGTTCTTTCCCTTTTGGCTTTTGCCAAGGACAGGAATACAGCCAGGCCTCACCACCTTCTGGTCAGAGCAGAGCATGTTAACTAGTTGTCCTATCCCAGGGCTGTTGTTGTTATTATTGTTAGGTCCATTGAGTTGACTCTGACCCGTTGCAACCCTATGCACACACAACAGAACAAAGCATTGCACAATCAATCTTGTGCCAGCCTCACAATTGTTCCCATGCCTAAGTCCACTGACGCAGCCACTGTGTCCATCCATCTCTAGCACCAGGGGCAGTAGAGTCAGGAAATAAACCCACTACTATTGAGTCAATTCTGACTCATAATGACCTATACTTAGGATTTCTGAGGCTGTAAATTGTTATGGGAGGACATGGCCTCCTCTTTTTTGCCCACCAGGAGTGGCTGGTAAGTTTGAACCACCTACCTTGCTATCAGCAGTCCAACGCTTACCTAACAGTGTCATCATTAAGCATTACGTATTCTAAACCTAAGAAGCACAGTCACAGTGACATCCAGGTTTAATAAAAGGGCAGGAGTTCTCGCTCTACTTCTTCCTTGCACTGCTAATCCCAACAAATCATCAGTGCTTTCACGGTTTATGAAAGAACTCATGCACGTGTGACTTTCAACCTGATTGTTGTGTAGGGCAGTCACAGAGCCCACTCTCTCCTGATGACTATTTTAGGTTCGCATGTTACAGAGCTTTGCCAAGGCAGTCTTTTCACAACTGCTCTCAATGACTTCTCTGTGTGAATAAAAGCCATTGACCTTAATTCTCCTTATCAAGTGCTCCACCCTGCTCTCTTGTAAGTTCTAATATATAGTCCATAGTGGTGTGTTCTCCCATCAAGGCACCTCCTGTGTAAGTATTTCCCACCATTGTGCATGACTGCCAAGGGAGAGGTGTTAGGGGGAGGAAGCAATTCGGCAGATTTATGTCCTATAGATTGCAATGGACTGGGTGCCAATATCGCTCTGTTTGCTTTCTTCCAGGAAATTGAGGATGGCCATGGCCTTGGGCTGACCAGCACTTCCGGTTATCTTCACAAGAATCTCACTGAAGAATAATCTCAAAGGAACCTCTTCCTCGCTCTGCTAATGCCCATGTTTACCGTGGGCAAGGAAACCATCAGCTCCCCTGTGCTGGCAGCCTTGCGCAGGCAGCCAAAGGGAGCTTCCTTCAAATTGTTTCTAGAACTCTGTAGGAGAAGCACCTCCCGATGTTTGATCAATGTTCATGAAACCCTTTTCTGAACCAGCTTAGGAGGCTTAGAACTTTGGAGCCTGTGACATGGAAGCTTTGGAAGTTGACGATATCAGCCCGGCCTTGGAAGTCACTGAGGACTTCTTTAGTTCTTTTGACAGTAAGCTAGAAAAGGCCGTCCAACAAGCAGAGGTATATGGGATCCAGGAAGTCCCTGAACTGGTGGGACACGAAGTATTCAGTGACACACCTGATCATGGTGCCCTCAGAAATGTGGCCTCTGTGGGCAAGGGGGGCAGGATTTGGGACCATTGTAACAGCAGACTCTTAGAAACCAAAGCTCAAAATGTCTTCCCTTCCAAAGAACAGTTTCGGGTCCAGAGAGGGACCACCCCAGATAACCTTTCCTGGGTGGGGCAAGAGGAGGCATCAACCTTTCCGTTTTTCAACGTTTGTCAGCGTCGGAGGGGCAGACCTCGCTCTGTGAATGACTTGTTGGATGAGACCTCTACTTTTAAGCCAGGCCATGCTCGATCAAGGTCAGATATTACTCAAGTGGACTGGAGGGTAGTCCTCAAAACCATGCCTTTGCAGCAGCAGCAGCAGCAGCAACCATCTCTTCAGGGCCCTCATTTCACTAGGCCATCGTTTCTATCAACGTCACCAAACAAGGTAGAAGATGCTCAAGGAAACACTGGTATGTTTTTCTGTCTCATTGATATTAAGCAATTATTGACTTTCCTTTATCTCTTTTTCATCGACTGCAAGAGGGTGGTACCTCGTGATATAAAAAAGAGTGGCTACAACAGTGGGTTCAAAGTTAAACAGTTCAAACTTTGAACAGTGTTGCGGCACCAGGCAGTGTTTCATTCTGTTTTGCACAGCGTCACCAGGAGTTGGAACCAACTGGAGGACACCTAACAGCAACATAAGAAACTAACTCACTAATATGCATATCTGGTGTTGCTTACTTTATTTTTGTTGACTTAGGAGCTCCCTCCCTCCCATAAGATAACAAACTTAAAAATCACTGCCATCAAGTTGGTTCCAACTCATAACAACCCTACAGGGCAGGGTAGAACTGCCTCTGTGGGTTTCTGAGACAGTAACTGTTTGGACACAGAAAGCCTCATGTTTCTCCTACAAAGGAGCTGGTGGTTTCGAACTGTTAGCAGCCCAGTGCATAACCACTATGGCATGAGGACCCTCTCCCTTAAGATAAGTATGTGCTTGTTTTCTTTCAGACTTTTAAAAACTACATACATTCTTTCTTTTTTACTGTGAATTAAGTGAAAGTTTACATTTCAGATCAAGAACTTTGTAGTCAACACTTGAAACCATTCATCAACAAACCCACACTCTCAAAATAGTTTACATCACCTGGTCCTTGATTTCTCCTTTCCCTCCTGTGGGCACTATCTTCCATTCCACCTACGTTAGTACCTGTGACAGTCTAGCTCCTTGCTTTATCTTCTTTCCCGTGTCCTTCCCTCCTTGGCAAACTCCAAAGTATGTTCCTTTTGGTATGAAAGTCTTTAACTTTTTTATTCTCCTGTAACAGTGGTGAGATAGTTTATTGTGCCAGCCCGGCCGATGAACACAAGTGGGATTAACTGAAGGGCAGAGAGATAAATGCCTTCGTGAGTCTTGCCTTTCTTGTCTCTCGCTCTTTGATCATCGGACCAGTGTGCGGCTGCCTTGCTTGTCCTGTGCCTCAATTTAAAGGCTACACTACCTGTGGGACCCCTAGCCTGTGGACTGTGTTGCTGTAAGTTGAGGTCCCTTTAAGACATTGCTGGAGCTGGGGACTGGCAGTTGGTGACCTGGCTGGCAGTTGGTGACCTGCCTTCTGATTGGCTGCTGTGCTGACATAGCCTAGCTCTCTCTATAAATAGAGGAAGATCTGGCAGCAGATTGGACTGGAAGGACTGCTAGTCTCTCACATCTCTCTCATGGCAGTGAGTTGAATTGAGCCATTTGTAGTGCTTTATAATTTAACTGTTTCTTTCTTGTATTATATATTTAACTGTATATGATTTAACAGTTCATTCCTTGTTATATATCTAATTATCTTTATAAATAAATGTATTAAATTATCAGCAATTTGGTTTTATCTCTCTAGAGAACCCTGTCTAACACAAGTGGTCTCACATACTATTTGACCTTTGGGGATTGGCTAATTTCACTCCGCATAATGTTCTCCAGGTCCATCCATGTCTTGCTTTATGATTTTGTCATTGTTTCTTAGCAATCTGTAATATTCCATTGTGTGTATCTACCAACATTTCTTTGCCCATTCTTCTACTGGTGCGATTGAAGTTGGTCCCACCTTCTTGCTGTTGCGAACAGTGTTGCGATGAATGTGCTGTGCTTATTTACGAGTGCCCTCTCCTTCTTACATTTGTACTTGCCCTCAAGCCTACACCCCTACCCTGTTCTTCAAAGGCATTGCAAGAAAAGACAAAAGTCAGTTGCCAAACCATTTGCCATCGAGTTGCCACCAACTCATGGCAAGCACATGTGTGTCAGGGTTGGCCTGAACTTGCAGGGGTTGCTGTAAGCTCTCAGCCCTCTCCCCACCAAACCAACCCAAACCAAACAAAAACCCCAAACAAAGAACTGCTGAGTGAAAATCAACCGTCGTTAACTTTCTCCACCTTACGCTGTATGTTAGAATCAGAGTAGTCTCATGGTTAATGTAGTACTTTCTTTGAACATTGTCTGATACTGCTTCTTTGAACATTGTCTGATACTGCTTGTTCACATCAGCAAACACTTATTAGATAATGAGTTGGCTTTGGCATTGTGCTGTGAAGGATTCAGAGAAGTGTAAGCACAGGATCCCTGTCTTAATACTTTCAAGGCCTATTTATTTTCTCCTTGCAATTTCTGGCTGTAGCCATGTGTTTTCAGTAATGGAATGCATTGTGAATGAAATGGGGAAATGTGTTTTTTTTCTTTTTGAAGAAATATGGATTTTTATTCAATTAGTGGGCACATGTATCTAGAGGTGCTGGAGTTGGTGGGATGAAGCCCTTTCCTTCAGATTCACAGTTATACATGTAATTATAAGGCTACCACCAGATGGCAGCATGCTATAATAGTGGGATGCCAGATTCCCACTTACACCTCCCCACCCCCCCAAAAAACACCACTCCAAAACACGAAACTCACTACCATCAAGTCAATTCCGAATCATGGCTACCCTATAGGACATGATTGAACTGTACTAGAGATTTCCAAGGCTGTAAATCTTTATGGGAACAGAAAGCCCATCCTTTTCCCACTGAGTATCTGGTGGTTTTGAATTGTTGACTGTCGTTAGTAGCCCAATGCATAACCCCACTACACCACCACGGCTCCATCACTAAATCCTAGAAGTGGAAAATATCAGCGAGCGCGTGGGTAGTGAGAGTTGGTTAAAGAGCCTCTCGTGTAATTGAGGAGATCAGTCTTAGACAAAGAGAGTACTCAGGCATGTGAGCCAGTAAGTGGTCCATTGAAATGTTAGGTTTCCTCTGTCTTGGGATTTTTTTCAATGAGTGATTCGTCAGTGAGACAGTGACTAGTAGTGGCCAGAGAGGATGACAACCCTGGGGGCTGGACTTCTCAGGAAAGTCTTGTTAGAGCAAATAGGACTTGAAAATGGAACCTTGAAGGATACTGAAATGCAGAAAAGGTGGTGTGGTCAACAGCAGTGCAGTCAGGGTCCTGGTGTGAACAAAGGCCGGGAGCTGGCAGTGCAGGGGAAGACAGGCGAACCCTTGTGAGTGGAGCACAGGGCCCTGTGGGGGTGAGGAGTGGGAGGAAGGACGGTGGGAGAGCTTGGCTAGGACTTTGCGGTAAAAGGCCTCAAACTCTTTTTTCTTCATATTTTATCAGCACGTAGGTGTCCATCCAGGGCACATGCCTGCACTCATGCACTCACACATGAGCTGTTGCTTCCCTGAGCCCCAAGACATGGCACATCATTGCTCCATTTCTCCTCAGAGGACTCACAGCAACAGCATTTATGCAGTTTGCCCTGCTATCCGAAAGCCATGGTTCCTATGAAAACTTTCATAAGCTGAAATAGTATCAAGTGAGGAAGCAATTGCTGCTGATTTATATGAGGAAAATATCTGAGTGTTCCCAAACCATCCTCCTAAGAACCCCTACCAAATCCTACCCAAGAACCCAGAAAACGTAGAGTCACACTCTCATGCAGTGTCACAGTCCGGTGCAGCGCTCTGGCGGCGTGAGGCGGCAGTGGTGCTGCTCCGGGTGTGTGCTGCAAAACAGACAGCAGAAGGCTCGTTTCTTTCTATCCTTTTTCATAAAAGCAAAACTCCCCTTCAGTTTTCTTTCTGTTAGTGAAAACAGGTACGACCGTAGGTCTCTCATGAAAGCCAGGTGGAAGTGGAGTAAAGCAAACTTTTCAAAAAGCAGGGGTGCTGTACAGGCTGACTACCAGATGGCTTCTTCTCAATTCACTAGGGAGACTATGTGATGTAGTTTGCTGCAAACTTAGTGTTACTTCAATGCCTATCTCTGCTTGGTAGTCTGTCATTACGTTCACCATTTTCATTCATGAAGTTTAGTTTGTCATTGTAGCCTGAGACACGGCTCGGCCCATGAAGGAAATGCAGGCTTCTTGCTTGTGAGCTGCTTCCTTCCTTTCACATGTACTGGAGGCAGGTTGGTTTAGTGGGGTTATTTATCTCTCCTGCCCTCTCAGAATCGATTTTCTTTACTTAGATGTATGACTTACATTGCCTTTTCTGTTCTTCTAGACTTTCCTTAGCCTATCACATCGTGTTAGGCTGGTTGTCTAGAGAAACAAAATCAGTGGCACTTGGATAAGAAGGAACTTTATAGTAAGAAATAAGCTTACATTAAGTTGGCATCACAGGCTCGCGTAAGTGCAGGCTGGTGATGCCGGAAGATCACAGGCCAGTGGGTGCATGGATCCCAGATGGGTGGAAACATGGGTGGCAGCTGACAGCTCTCAGTGTTGGGCTGCCCACTTGAGGCTTCCCCTGGAGGTAGGCAAAGTCCCAGCAAGCAGGAAGTCAAAGCAGCAGCAGAGAGAGGGGAGTTCCCAGTGTCTCTCTTAATAAGAAGGCCCTACTCCGAAGGAGGCATCATCAGGCTGTGACTGGATTGACAGGCCACATTGCACCTCTCCACTTTCATACACATTCAAGTTGACATAAAAATCGTCCACTTATTACACACACATCAAGGCGAGGGTGGTGATCATGGGAGCGAAAAGAAACGGACAATGGAAAGGTTACCAGACTTGGTAACCAATCAGATGTGAGGGTGAGCCAGGTGCCTCACAGAATGGTGGCTTTCTGTCTGAGCTCATGTACAAGAAGGTGCACTCTTGGATCAGCAAATAACCTCAATAGCTTCCTGGTTTCTTAGAATTCCCACAGATTTTGTCCTATCCTTAAGCCAACCTAACTAATCTAAATTCCTGGCAAAACCGAAGTTAACAGTATCCCTCTTTCTCCATATCTTGTGCTGATTATAAATACAAGCACATTCCTTAGATTCTCCAATTTCTAGGCTTCTTTCTTGACTAAATGAAAGACCCTGGTTATTATTTTTGAATACTACATTTTAAAACAACTACATTAAATGATACAGAAGTACTTGTATAAGTACTGAAGGGTATGTTGCAAAGGAAAGTGGAGCAAATGGCCGCTGCAG